GTGTTTGGGAGCTTCCTTCTTCCAAGGACTCTTCTGTTCTCCGACTGCGTCACTGACGTCCAATACTTAATGAAGCTGGAGGTCTCTCAGGTTGGGAGGTAGGAGAAGTGGGAGGTGCTGGTGAGAGGAACAGGGCCCTGCTGTGTGTGAAGGGTGAGGGCTGAGTGTGGCCCCAGGGAATGGAGTCAGACTTCCAGTTAGCAAACGCTGGCTTGTGTCACCTTTGTTGCTCTCGTCATCTTCACCTGCTGCAGCACCTCACCTCCTGTCTGATCGTAAAACACAGAGACCGGTCCTCTGTCACCTACTAGCTGTGTGATCTGGGGCGGTGCACATGCTTCCACTGAATTTCAGAGGTCTTATCATCACAGAGGGATGCTGATAGTATTAAAGCTGCTAATACTATATGAAGCATTTAGGTGCTTGGCACATAGTACACACTCAAAAGGATACAAGCTATTATTACTATTCTTTGCACTTCGTAAACATCAACTAGGTTAATTCTTGATAGTCTCCATTTCATCTTCCAGATCTTCCCAGGTGGTTCTAGTGGTAAAGAGCCTGCCTACCAATGCAGGAGATGTCAGAGATGTGTTTGATCCCTGGATTGGGAAGCTGTCCTGGAGGAGAGCAGGGCAACCCACTCCAATATTCTTGCCTGGAGATTCCCATGGACAGAGGAGCCTGGCCTTCTATAATCCTAGGGTCACAAAGAGTCTGATATAACTGAAACGACTTAGCACGCATGTATCTTCTAGATACACCCTTACCTGTTTCCCGTCCCCGGTGATTATGAGCTGTGGCTTCTCTGAGAGCTTATCTGACTCACTATCTCAGCTTCAACCATGTAGGTGCCCAGCTTCTCACTGAGCAAGATGGTGCTTCAGACATCCAGGAGTTTGTCCCACTGACGAAAAGAGGCATGAATAACATAGTCTATGCAGAGGGCAGTGATACATGTCCTGCCTAGATGTCCCTAAGCAGGCTCTCCAGCCTCTGGGAACATGCATAGTCATGTGAACCAAGGTTTCGTTAGCAGGCAGCCTCCACTGGCCTAACTCCTGAAAGGCTGTGGATGAAATCGGGCAGTGAGGATATCTCAACTGGGTCTTTCAACAAAATCAAGAGACATTAGGTTTATTGCATCCCCTTCAGCTGAGAGCCCAGTGGTTCCTAATGAAAAGGAAGAAATTGTCTGAGCATAATTTGTTCCATCTGGGCTCTAGCTGGCTTCTGCCTAAAGGGCTCACAGATCAGTGATTAGGAATCTGTTCTAGAATTTTGTGGTCACCAGTGTTTCTGGAATCTCTTGGAAAGTCAGAACACTCTCCTGCCTTCAGGGACCCTTTCTCAGGGTCCCTCAGATACAACTTGATCAGATCTAGAAGGGTTCTATAATGTTCAAGGGTGTGCTCACAGAATCCTAACTCGTTAACGCTTTCAAGGGCCTTGGAGCTTCGTGTGTCCTTAAATTTCCCTTACTGTCACCTGCCTTAAGCGGATTTCCTCTTTAACTTTTACTCTGGCCCCTTTCTTCTCCATGATGAAGATGGAGCTAAAATAAGATCTGCTTGCTCACTGTGCTCTGATCACGTCAAAGCATTCACTCTGAGACGCTGGTATTTCCCTTTTTGCTTCTTTCATCAGAGTTATCGAAAAGGGAACAAATACCTCATTTTGTTGTTTCTAGCTTTTTTTCTTTTGTGCCTTTCTTTTCAGGTTGCTGACTCACTGGGTTTTAAAAATATACCTTCTCAATAATGAAAATAATGGAAGTAATAACAATCGTGATGCTCCTGATGATAAAGAGCCCTCGTGGAGCACTGTTATTGTGCTGGATGCTTTAGATGCTGTATCTAATAGCATCTCCCCTGGCAAAGCTGACCACAGGGCTGAACACACTGCAGACTCTCAGGACATAACAATAACTATTTATTTAGCTCTCAACCTGGCCTGACACTTCTGCATTCCTTACCTTATGTCATTGTTATAATAGCCCTGTAAAACAGATACTATTATTCTCTGTTGCAGATGAAGAATTAGGGCTCAACATAAATATATTAAAAATTCATTCCACTTATTATTTCTATGGACATATCGAGTGTTTGCTAAATGTCCAGCCCTTAGAACAAGTGGTTCTTGCCCTCCAGGGTCTCACAGTCAAGTGGGGCCCACAAGGCAGGGAGTAGGCAGTGGCCCTGAATCTCTGGAATTATCTAAAGCCCTCATTTGTTCTGGGCTCCTGCCTCCCTATATTTTCAGATTCACTCTTTGTCTTTTGTTCCAAGCATCACAAGGGGACTTCCCAGGTGGCACCATGGTAAAAAATCTGCCTGCCATGCAGGATGCTGGAGATGTGGGTTTGATCCCTGTGTTGGGAAGATCCCCTGGAGTAGGAATTGGCAACCCACTCCAGTATTCTTGCCTGGAAAATTCCATGGACAGAGGAACCTGGTGGGCTATAGTCCATAGGGTTGCAAAGAGTTGGCCATGACTGAGCACGCATCACAAGGGGTCCTTTATGTCCAGCCACATCACTATCAATTAAAGTCCTCCTCCATTCTTCTCTCGTAAGGTCACTTGTAACCATAAGAGTTTAATCTTTCTGGACCCGAGTTGCTGCCCTCCTCAGCTGTATCCTCCCACAAGTTCATACCTGTGTTTTCTCTGAGGGTCTTGATCTGTTGTTCTCAAGCTCAGAACATGATAGGTGACAGTCACCCCTCTCTTGACTATTGCTTTACTCAGATGAAGGGGACAGAATCTTCATTTTCACCAAGGAGGGCTTCTTCATTGGCTTGAAGAAGGAGATGACAGAGAGAGGAATGGGAAAGAACTGGCAAGGCAGGAGACAAACATGTGTGCAGCTGATTTTATGGAGGAAGAAGGACACTGTTTGACTTGGTCTAACCTGTGAGGCAGAGGCAAGCAAAGTGCTGGGATTGGAGGCCCTGGAACCTGGGTCGCTTTTATTTATTAGACTATTTACCAAACCAAAATCCTCACTGAGCCAAGAACTTTTCTATTGTACATTCTGGGAAGCCCAGAGGTAGGCCAGACCCAGCACGGGTTGATTCAGTGGCTCAGTGATCAAGGATGCAGGTTTTTTCCCTGCGTATGTCCACTTTCTTCTCTAGCTGGGTCCCTTCTTGATGGCCAGGTAGTATCTGGCAGCTATGGAATGATACGCTTCCTTGTTCAGGTTCAGTGGGAAAGATACTATTTCACCTTGCGACTGGCTTGCAGTTAAGGAAAAAATAAATTTTTCCTAGAAACAGGTCTTTCATGGCTCATTGGCTTGAATTGGGTCACATGCCTATCACTGAACCAATTCCTGGCAGTTTGGGTGAAATGACATCATCTAAAGTGGAACAGATTTGGGGAAGCAACCACCGTGCCATTACAGGGTCACATTTCCCAGACGTAAGCAAAGTGAAGAACCCAGTACTGTGACAGTATATGGTTAAGGAATTAGTATGCAGAGTTGCCAGATTTAGCTAAAAATACAAAGTGCCCAGTAAAATGTGAATTTCAGGTAGACTACAAACTTAAAGTATAAATATTTCCTATGCAATATTTGATGGTCTGTGTGTCCCAGTATTTGGTACAAAGCAAAATGGGTTAAGTATGTGTTTGGCAATGAAACCTAAGAAAAAATTCTAGGGGTTCATGGTGCATCAGGGACTTAGAATCAAGATCAGTTCTGAGTCTTGCATTGCTTGCGTGAGGTCAGTGTAATATAAACTGATTCAAACAGCAGAGGAGGGCTGGGGGGCCTTCTCTCCACACATGAGATGACCCCCTGTGGCCAGGATTTGGGAGAGAAAACGACTGGGCCTCCTCATCTGGGGGCCCTGGTTGACCCCATCCTGCCTTCTCTTTCTAGGGCCCCGATCGCTGTGGGCAGGCTTTGCTGCGGATTGGCGTCAACATGATGGCACTGCCTGGAGGCCGCCACCTGGACTCCATCCCTCTGCCGGGTCAGCGGTAAGTCCCACCGCTGTGTCTCAGGGCCTGGCCTGCCCCATCTGGACTCTGGCGGAGGCCCGGCCCCAGGATCCCAGAGTTTGCAGGTGGCCTCATCTCTCAGTGCACTGTGCTGGGAGGAGGCTTAGGACAAGACGTCCGGGACACTGCAGTCACTTAGCAAATACCAGTGGAACTGGGCTCTGAGACACAGAGGAGTCAGCCACATCCTGCCCCAAGGGGCTACTTTAAGACCCAAGCAGACAGTGAAACAAAGGGTCCAGTGGGGTGTCCTGCTCACAGAGGGGACCCCAGAGGCGGTCCAGGAAGTTGGAGCCACTGGGGGGACTTGGCCTCTCTGAGCCTCTTGGAAGACATCAGACTGCCATTAGGTGTCTTTCTCTCAAAGCCCCAGGGAGAGGAGTGGGCACAGAGCTGATCCCTGGGAAACGCTTGTTTCCCCTGAGTTGGGCAGTGTGGTGAGGAGGAGGAAAGAATATACCGAGCAGGAGGTGAGGCTGGGATGATGGGCAAAGGAAGGGGGGGTCCAGAGCTGCCTTCGCACAGGTGAAGGGGACGGGGAGGCAGGTTACATAAGCAAAGTGAAGAACCCAGTACTGTGACAGTATATGGTTAAGGAATTAGTATGCAGAGTTGCCAGATTTAGCTAAAAATACAAAGTGCCCAGTAAAATGTGAATTTCAGGTAGACTACAAACTTAAAGTATAAATGTTTCCTATGCAATATTTGATGGTCTGTGTGTCCCAGTATTTGGTACAAAGCAAAATGGGTTAAGTATGTGTTTGGCAATGAAACCTAAGAAAAAATTCTAGGGGTTCATGGTACATCAGGGACTTAGAATCAAGATCAGTTCTGAGTCTTGCATTGCTTGCGTGAGGTCAGTGTAATATAAACTGATTCAAACAGCAGAGGAGGGCTGGGGGGCCTTCTCTCCACACATGAGATGACCCCCTGTGGCCAGGATTTGGGAGAGAAAACGACTGGGCCTCCTCATCTGGGGGCCCTGGTTGACCCCATCCTGCCTTCTCTTTCTAGGGCCCCGATCGCTGTGGGCAGGCTTTGCTGCGGATTGGCGTCAACATGATGGCACTGCCTGGAGGCCGCCACCTGGACTCCATCCCTCTGCCGGGTCAGCGGTAAGTCCCACCGCTGTGTCTCAGGGCCTGGCCTGCCCCATCTGGACTCTGGCGGAGGCCCGGCCCCAGGATCCCAGAGTTTGCAGGTGGCCTCATCTCTCAGTGCACTGTGCTGGGAGGAGGCTTAGGACAAGACGTCCGGGACACTGCAGTCACTTAGCAAATACCAGTGGAACTGGGCTCTGAGACACAGAGGAGTCAGCCACATCCTGCCCCAAGGGGCTACTTTAAGACCCAAGCAGACAGTGAAACAAAGGGTCCAGTGGGGTGTCCTGCTCACAGAGGGGACCCCAGAGGCGGTCCAGGAAGTTGGAGCCACTGGGGGGACTTGGCCTCTCTGAGCCTTTTGGAAGACATCAGACTGCCATTAGGTGTCTTTCTCTCAAAGCCCCAGGGAGAGGAGTGGGCACAGAGCTGATCCCTGGGAAACGCTTGTTTCCCCTGAGTTGGGCAGTGTGGTGAGGAGGAGGAAAGAATATACCGAGCAGGAGGTGAGGCTGGGATGATGGGCAAAGGAAGGGGGGGTCCAGAGCTGCCTTCGCACAGGTGAAGGGGACGGGGAGGCAGGTGGAGATCTGACTGGCTGGTCCTGGTGGCCCTAGACCGAAGCAGAGGTGGAGGCACCAGGGCAGCAAATCTCTGATGACAGCTATCCCAGTTTGCCTGGGACTGCGCTGATTTTGGCACTAACAGTCCCATGTCCCTGGAAACTCCTCGGTCCTGGGCAAACCGGGATGGTGGGTCACTCTAACTTAGGTTTGGTCTGTGGAGGAACTTTGCAGTTTGAGGCTCAGAGCTTCCTCTTATCCTTTCACTTCTTGCTTAGACATTTTGATGGGATTGTTTTGAGGCAGCAGAATCCAAGTAGCCCTTCCAAGGTTGTTAAATCATTGTTTTTTTATTGCTTTATATATTGGGTTGGCCAAAAAGTTCATTCAGATTGTTCCATCCGATGTTATGGAAAGACCCAAACAAACATTTTGGCCTGTACAATACTCTGATAGCACTACCATCTAATCTCTCTTTTTAACCCCCGCCTGAATTATAGGGGGCTTCGACTATGTACAGCATGCATTGCTACATTGTTTGTTCTGTTTTTGAGTATTTTGGGTGTGTGTGTGTGTGTGTGTGTTGCTTTTAAAATCAGAAGGATTTATTAAATATTTACTAAGAGTCTACTGGAGTTGGATTAATCTCCATGACAGTATCGGTCTGCTCCCCCAAAGCCATTATCATAAAGAGCTTTAAGAAGATGAATATTCCTGAGGGCTGAGAACACTGTTAGAAATGTAGTTAAGAATTTCCTGTGAGACCTGACGCTGGGAGTAAGGTATAATATGGAGACCCAAATATTTTTCCACGTGGACTCTAAGGTAGAGCTCAGAGATGGTGTGATGCAAACCTGTAAAGATACATGCATAGTCTTAGAGATGGGATTTCATGATTTGAGCAGATGTTATCAGCTCTGAACACATGACTGACTGGCTTCAACTAATTGTGTGGTCTTATGTGAACTCCTCAACCCCATGGCTTCTCAGCTCCCTCATGTATAAAACAGGGGTAATAATAGTATCTAGACATAAGGTTGATGTGTAGATTAAATGAGCTAATAATACATGCAAAATGTCTGCCATCCAGTGAGAGCTATATCAGAAGGGCCCTTGTTTATTGGGTGCCTGCTGCATGTTGGAGGCCCTCTGTGGTTCCTCATGTAGGTGATCTTAGGGGGTTCTTCTAGAAATACTTCGCTTGACCCCTTACTATTGGCAAGTCACCTCTTTGAGAAAATAAGAAATCATGGGCAGACACTCCCAGCAGCCTAATATTTTATAATCAGAAAAGAGGAGACGTGTTCTAGATGCAGAGGAATCTCAGTCTTTCCATCACCTGTCCTGCCCAGGTTGAAAACTGTATACTCAGATAAGTAGCAGCATCTGTGGCAATAGGGCTCTGGGACTCCTCCACAGATCTCACAGGGGTTGGAATTGTCAGACCAGAGCCTGTGCTGGGGTTCGGGAAACTAACATCACAGGGCAGTTTAGGACAGTGCTTAGGAATCTTGACCCCCCTCTCCACCACAAAAATTGATTTTTGGTTCTGCTGCTTATTAGCTATAACCTTGGGCTTCAGTTTATTGATCAATGAAGTAGAGATATTTATGCTTACATCATCCATCGGGTTGTGATGAGCCTTTAATATGTATATGTTGTTACTATTCACATATAAACTGAACAGCAAATTGTTGCTGTATGCAAATAGCTTTTATGCTTTATTTTTGTGTAGAAGAAAATGCTTGAAAATAAATCCAAAGATTAAAAAAAGAGATAATATATACAAAGTGCCTGTCTGAAACATAGGAGCTGCTCAATCAATGTTACCATCTCCTTTAGATAAAGAATAAGACCCTGGAGTAGAGAATATGAGCCAAGGTAGATCACGTTCTGAAACTCTGTCAGCCCCTGGGAACCACTGATCTCTCTTCCAAGCTCCTCAGAATTTTTAAAAATAAAAGAAAATTAAATTACATCAAAATGATTTAGGAATCAGATCATTATGCTTTTGGAGTCAGGACAGGCTTTCTAACTGACATTGTATAGCAAATATTGATACCTTGGGAGGAAAATACCAGACTAACATGATTCCCCAAACACTGCAACCTGCAAAAATGTTTGTTTAGAATGTCTTCAGTCTTATTATTCTGATACGGCAGGCAGGCTGCAGAGAGAAGATGGCACCTCCCTTACTACCATCACAATCTCACATTGCGGGGCCAGGCCTACCCAGAACAGTGGGGGAATATAATCCTATTAATCATCTACCACCCTGTTAATTGTCTGTGTTCTGGAGGTGTGTGCCTGGGCCACGTTCACAGCGGGGGCTCATGTGTGTTTACAGGATGTCAGAGGGGTTCATTTGTCCAATCTGATGCTTCATTATGAGCAGACAATAGCAGCTGCCTCTTCTTTCCTCTTGTTGCAAGCTGCAGAGGCCTCTCTCAGGGGAATAACACCATGGTTATTGTCCCCAGATAAATAATTAATGTTGGATAATTGACTTCTTTCTGTTGTGTTCCTCTGAGACTGAATTTCACTCTGGAGTGCCATTGTTCACATCGGTGTACAAAGTAAATAAATATTGTCAAGTTGTATGGGATCATCCCACAGTCCGGGTGAGCTGTCTAGGTTAGACCTTTGGTGTTTGAGGCCCTTATGAGTAAATAGCATCAGAAGAGCTTTTCTAGGTATAGGCTCCTGGAACAGAACAGAAGGCAGGGAGCAGAGGTGTCTGAGGCCAGGGGTTGGGATTGTGAATTGAATTGGGTTATAGGAGGGGGTGTGATGGCTGTCAACTCTGACCACATCTGAGTCTCCTGGGAGGTTTTCATATTTTAAAAAATAATAATAATTTTAAAAAACCCTACTGCTGATTCATGTTGCTATATGGCAGAAACCAACACTGTATTGTAAAGCAATTATCCTCCAATTAAAAATAAATTTTAGAAAAGCTATAAAATAAAATAAACAAGCCAAAGAACAGAACCCTATTCTTGGAAACTTTAATGTAGGAACCCGAAGTGGTTGAAAGCATATAAGCCTTGGGATCAGACTTGGGCTCAAAGCTCAGCTCCACTTCCTACTAGCTCTGTGACTTTGGCTGCTGCCTAACATGTGTGAGCACCAGTTTTATCTTCTATAACAAGGTGACCGTGGTCATTGCTTAAAAGGTCATCTAGGTGCTGGGGTCTAAGAAGAAAGGTCTCTGAGGCCTCTGGGTGCCAGCCTACATTTTACAAGGCCATCCTGGTAACAGTAAGGAACCCCCCCCCCCCCAATCTCCCTCCCTCAGCAGTGAAAACCCTTTCAAGCTCAGGTTCAAATACTTCTCCAGAAGTTCATGGATTTATTGGTGGGAGTGAAGGGGACAGGGGATCGGCTCTCTGGGTAGCAAGAGACCGTGGCTGATGTGTCTGTAGCTGATCTTTGCTTTCTTCTTGGGTCTCTGGGCTCCTGTCTCTATGAATGGTACATCAATTCTTGCTGTTGGCTCTGGGCTGGGTGGTAGTGGTTCGGGGGTCCAGACATGGTGGTCAGGGTGCTGCCACCTGTCTGCCTGCTCCCAGGGTTGTGCCCGTCATCATCGTACCTCCTCTTCGGCAGGAGGCCCAGGCCTTGGATTTAACAGTCTCTGTGGAGAGGTTCCTGCAGGGTGGACTGGAGGCCAGTCTGAGGGATACACACAGGGCCACATCCAGACATGTCACCCACTCTCCCTCTCTCCTTCTCTCCTTCCCTCCCTCCCTCCCTCCCTCCTTTCATTACTTCTCTTACCCACAGATCAAGCTGATGAGACACTGACATCTTCTCTCTGGTTTCCTGCTCGTGAGGGTGGGAATACTATGAAAGGACTCCACTAACCCCCATAACAAAATTGGCTTACTCTCGTTTAGCACTTGCTATGAGCTGGTCGCTTTTACACATAGCAATTCACTCAGTCCTCATCACAGCCCTTGTGTATACTTACTATTATCTCTGTTTTGCTAATGAGGGGGCCGTAGGTTGGGTTCCCTGGGAAGCAGTCATTGAGATGGGGTTGAGCGTTCAGGATGGTCATTAGGAGTGCCTTTGGGATTGTGGCGGGAGGGGAAGGAAGCAGGCCGGGCCGGTGGGGTGGGCGTGGGGTGGGGACAGGGTGCAGATGGTGAGCTGTGATGCCGGCTTGATGACGACTCAGCTGACCTCACAGGGACCTTTGGGATCAGAGTTGTTCATTGGCCAGAGAGGCCAGGACCTTCATATCCCACCTTAATTCTGTCAGAGTGCGTGACTTTGGGCAGAGCACGACCTCAGGTAAGGTAGCTCTGGAAATCCTGCCAGTTGTGGACAGCAAGTCTTTCCTTTGAGGAGGAACCCGAGTGCCACATACAACGTCCATCCCGTGAGAAAACTGAGGCCTGAGGAGCTCAAGTTGCTTACTTGTCCAGGACAGGCTGACAAAGAACAGAGCTAGGATACATGTCCCCAGATGGTGCTTGAACCTGAGTGTTGGGCAGTACTCTATCCTGACTCTTTTCCATGATGTTCTTGAGGGCATCACATGAGGAAATCATTCATTCAGGTGGTTGTTTATTCATTGTTGTTATTGTTTAGTTGCTAAGTTGTGCCTGACTCTTTGCGACCCCATGGACTGTAACCCACCAGGCTCCTCTGTCCATGTGATTTTCCAGGCAAGAATACTGGAGTAGGTCACCATTTTCTTCTCCAGGGGATCTTCCAACCCAGAGATTGAACTCATGTCTCCCATGTCTCCTGCATTGGCAAGTGGAGTCTTTGCTGCCAAGTCACCGGTGAAGCCCCGTTTATTCATTAGTATTCATTAAGTCTTCCACAAAATTTATCTACGAGTACGTATTAAATGCAGAGCACGTCTCTGTATGGGGCTGTGTGCTAAAGGACATGATGGTGACTGAATCGGGTGTGGTGCCTTCCCTTGCAGAACTCATTTATTTCAAGTGACCAGGCTTGGATTTGTAGCGAGTATACAACCTGGGGCTTTTATTTGGGATGTCTCACTGGGAGGGAGAGATGTCTCACTAGGTTTCTGTTCAGCCTGGAGTCTGAGATGAGTCAGCTGAAGCTTGTGGCAGGCCAGCGGCTTCCTGGGTCGCCCCTGGGCTGCTGGTGAGGACCCGCCCAGCTTCCCTGAGCCAGTGAGGCCGTCCTAGGCCAGCCTGTCTCCAAGTAGATAATGGCTTGCATGTGTACGCCTTGGTCTGCGGCTGGTTTTCTGCTGCCGGTTGCTTTCTCTGCCCGCGGTGAAATGTGCAGACTGTAATTGTCAATGGGATAATTGGATATTTTCCTGTTGTTTAAACCTAAAGGAAGGCTAGAATCAAATTCCCTTCCTTCTCCCATCTCCCAAGAGAGATCCACAGAAACATAGGGTGTGACCTTGTAAAGACATAGGAATAATGATTCCATTTTTAAGAGGGGAGTTTGGATTTAAATTCCCTTATAGTGCCAGGAACTGGGATCATAGAGGCATCAAATGTTGTTGCTGGAAGTTTCCTTAGAGCTCCCTGTATTATGAGATGGGGAAATTGAGGCCCAGAGAGGGGAATGGAGCTGCTCTAATACTCTCAGGCCCCCTCCCACTCTCTGTGGAGTCTTGCCTTCCCTGAGCTGTGTTTCTTAAGTTTATTATCCCAGCTAGCCTCCAGTGATTTCTAGCAGCTCTGTGTCCTAGCTCTAGTGGAATCCTCTTGTTAACAGTGATCTGTAATAGTTTTCAATTTCATTCATTCACTTGTTCATTTGAGTGAAATTTACTTTAGGCTAAGAACTTACTTTGGGCCAGGCCATGAGTAGAACTATAATGAATTATGTAAATGTCATCCTTCTGACTTAGTAATAAACATCCTGAGGGTCAGTCATTTATGATTCGTATTTGTGCTCCTGTGGTTAAAATGCACACGAAAGAAGCTCAAAAACTGGTTGTTGAATGAATAAATGTTTAATAAGTGATGAGTGACTAACCACTGAGGCGTCTCAGGTGACTGTGAGAAATTTAATTCCTTAGCTTGAAGTTTGTTCTTTTCTCCAAGCTGTTTTCATTCTTTATGGTAGAAAACTGCTGCATGGGGGGAAAGGATAAGCTAGAGTTTTACCTTGATTAATTTAAATACTGTTTCTGAGTGGCAGCCAAAGATTTAATTGGTTGAAGGAGTCAGACAGTTGGAGAGACTTTTTTTCCTCCTAAAGGATAGCAATTCAGAAATATTTTTAATCTTTTCGTTTTATGTTCGTTGGAAAAAAATGTCTCTGCAATCTCATCATTTAATGTCTTGCAGGAGAGCACAGTGCAGTGGGCAGCAGTGATTGGGGCCAGAGGTTGGACTTGCTCCCATCCTGTCTCCTTCCTCCCTTCCTTCCCAGCTCTGGTTCTGCACGAACCTGCTGTGTGTCCACAATCATTTCCCTCTCTGAGCTTCGTTTTCTTCCTCTGAGGATGAGGAGGTAGGCAAAAGTTTCCCAGGGACTCTTTCAGTGCTAATGTTCTAGGAGTTTGTGAGTGAGTTTTGGATAGTCTTTTCCCTTTTCTGGACAAAAAGGATCCCACTTTAGTGCCTCGGGGCTGTGAAAGAATCTCATTGGCCGAAACGATCAAGGTCTTATTCCTTTCAGTGAAAAGCGTGAAAAGGTTTTGTGTTGGCTTTGTAGCTGGGAAGGAAATTGTAAGACATTTTAGTTTGGGAGCCCCTTCCAGCATCTGAGGGTTTGCGTTGTCCAGGTTTTATGGAAGCCCTGTGGTATAGCCTGGAGAAGTGCTTTATGAGAGGGTGGGGATAGAGCGCCTGCCTTCGCTGGAATAAAATACAGATAAATCCCTGAATCCCAGCATTCTAACATGCTTCTTAATTTAAAGTTCTTATTTTTGACTGAGTTCATTCCACCCCTCTGACTACTGTTAGCAACTTGTCATCTTCCCAACATGTGGCCCCATGTCTCCACTGCTTTGCACTTGCTGTCTCCTTTGTTTGAAATCCTGTCGCCTTCCAACTCTGCTGCTTCTAGTCAACTTGAAAGCATCCTTCTAGCATTGGCCTGGGACACTGTCTCAGATCCCCTAGCTTGAGCTGAACTTCTCTGTGCTCCCCAAATTCCTTCTGATTACTTCAAAATGCCACACGGAGCATACTGAACCATAATTGCTTGTTTAAAATCATTCATTTATTCATTTGGCAAATGTTTGTTGAGTGCTTATGACATGCCAGGTGCTGTGCTAGGTCCAAGGATCATGTCCCACTGTAATGGAAGGTCCTGCCCTCTTGGAGGTCACATTCTCACTATCTCTCCTATATAATCCCAACACCTAGCTTGGCCCACTGGGATGCTCAGTAAAATTTGGAGGTCATTACCAAGTGTTCTTGGCATAGGAAAGTATTCTTTTACAGAAAACTCTCCGCTTCACATTAGCAGGTAGAATAGAATAAGGCAGAGAGATCCAAATTCCAGACTTAGAAGGAATAATTGAAGTTTCATTCTGAGTGAAAAGAATGTAAAATGAGCCAACAAGAATGTAGACAGAGATTTCCATCAACTATTGACCCCCAGTGTTTTGGGGGAACCCTGGATGCCAGACCTACAGGATTATCTGGCAATGAGGCATTGATACCAGAAGCTAGGGGCCAGGGCATGGGTCTGCTGGACTGCGGGGAGTTGTTCCCTTTGGCACCTGAATGGCCAGGCACAGTTACCTTCCTCCAGTGATGGGCTTTGAAGAATGAGACAGGATGCTTGAGGGGCAGCTGCAGAGGTGGAGCAGGGATGGTAAAGAGTCCTCAGAAGGGCACTCCTCACTTTTCCCCATCTCCCTGGCTTCCCACTCTGGCAGTTCTTCTGGTGCAAACTTGTCAGAGATCTGTGATGATGGGGCCAGTGGGCCAGTAGTTCTGTCCTGAATTTAAATAAGACACACCCTGTTCTCTCTCAGAAGGAAATAAGGCAGGAGTTTGAGAAATGACTAGGCATACTATAGTCTTTAAATGATCACGAGCTTTAAAAAGACTTATATATGGTACTGATGAACCTATTTGCAGGGCAGGAAGAGAGGCACGGACATGGAGAATGGACTTATGGACACAGAGGGGAAAGGGAGGAGGGGACGAATTGAGAGAATACAGTTTACGTGTATATAGTACCATGTGTAAAACAGATAGCTAGTGGGAAGCTTCTGTATAACACATGGAGCTCAGCTCAGTAATGATTTGCTGCTGCTGCTGCTAAGTTGCTTCAGTAGTGTCCATCTCTGTGCGACCCCAGAGACAGCAGCCCACCAGGTTCCTCCATCCCTGGGATTCTCCAGGCAAGAACACTGGAGTGGGTTGCCATTTCCTTCTCCAGTGCATGCATGCATGCTAAGTCGCTTCAGCCATGTCCAACTCTGTGCGACCCCCAAGGACAGCAGCCCACCAGACTCCTCTGTCCACGGAGTTCTCTAGGCAAGAACACTGGAGTGGGTTGCCATTTCCTTCTCCACAGAGATGATCTAGAAGGATGGAATGGGGGTTGGGGTTGGAGGGAGACTCAAGAGGGAGAGGATATATGTATATATGCAAGAAAGTGAGAGTCTCTCAGTTATGTCCGACTCTTTGCCACCACATGGACTGTAGTCTGCCACGCTCCTCTGTCCATGGGATTCTCCAGGCAAGAATAATGGAAAATGTTGCTGTTCCCTTCTCCAGGGGATCTTCCCAACCCAGGGATCAAACCTAGGTCTCCTGCATTGCAGGCAGATTCTTAAACACTAGCACCACCTGGGAAGCCCATACATATATTTATGAAAAAAGGGCATGATAGTCATATAAGAACAGTTTAACATAGGAGAAGGAGCCCCAGCTATGGATTTGAGGGTGTGAATATCAGTTAAATTGCTGAAGACTATTAAAAAAAACATACCACTTAGGTAAGAGCAAAGCTCTGGTCTCAGACTGCATAAATTCTTGTTTCTACTTATCCACCTTGAGATCTTAGTCAAGTTACTTCACCTCCCAAATTTCAGTTATGTGACCTTCATGGGGTTGTTTTTGTTTGTTGTTTAAATTTTTACTGAAGTGTAGATGCTTTATAATGTTGTGTTAGTTTCTGCTGCACAGCAAACTGAATCAGCTGCATATATGTATATATCCCCTCTGTTTTTGTGATATCCTTCCCATTTGGGTCACCACAGAACATTGAGTAGAATTCCTTCTGCTCTATAGGTTCTCATTAATGATCTATTTTATACACAGTAGTCTGTGTATGTCTATTTTGAGGGTAAAGTAAACAATTAAGACTGGACCAAGCATTTAGCACAGTGTCCAGAATGTAATAAGCACTCAATTCTAACTTCATCATGATTATTAACAGTGAGGTCTTAGACAAGTTAGGCAATGCTTCTAAGCCTCAGTTTTTACCTCTGTATAGTGGGTGGGTAATCACCGACCATCGATCCACTGTGTGGGCTGAAACAGAGAGTTCTTGGTTCCTAGAAGGTGTCCTATTGTTGGTAATTCTTCCTGCTTACTGTGTGGGTAGTTAATTCCTTCTGATTTTAGACACGTCTCAGGGAGCCCATTGTTTCCTTCTGTAATTCTTTGGTATATGACTATGCTACTCGCTTCCCCTACTCCAACTCCATCCTGGATAAATTCCAGCTTAAAAAAAAAATCTGTCCGACCAGTAGCCTGGTATGTGGAGATAACTGTGGTTACATCTGGCTTTGGAATCTGCCAGGCTCCAGAAAACCCAGATTTGGGGGCTCAGTCACCTCCTTCCAGACGTCCAGGAAGGCCACCATCCAGGAGCAGGGAGCAGGGCGACTGGGGGAGTAGGCAGCTCTTGGGGGCTCTGCTGGGAACTGCACAGGGCTCCCGTGAGCCTGGTTCACTGTTGGGATGCTTGCCTGCTCCCCGGGCACAGGGGCATCTTCCTAGCATCAGATTCCAGCTCACCATGGAGACAGAGGAAATCCAACCTCAGTCTTGGGCCCTGGCCCCTCCAGCTTCTGGCTGTGGCGGTTTCCACCAAGAAGGGTATGTGATTCATTACCAGTCCATCTGCCTTGACCTTGGTTTTCATTTCCTCCCTTTGTATGAAAAGTCAGATCATCTGTACTTGGAATGGGAAGATTTCATGTCTAGTGTGATGGCAGCTCCAGGTTCACAGCTGAGGGTGGTTCAAATACTGGGAGTTGCGAGATGTGGGGACAGCAGACAGCCCCCACTAACCAGCAAGAGCTGCCCTGTTCAACCAGACTTTTTAATCTTGGGGGTCAATCAGCAAACACAGTAGGAAAGGTGGCGCCCTGGGAACCAGAGAGCTAATGACACAGAATCTGATGAGCTCTGCAATTACGGGATGCTCAGTCCAAACCCTAAGGAGCCACAGTCCACTCCAAAATTGAGAAGAACATCTCATTATGTGGCGGCATGGTGACCGCGGCTGGGAGTGGACCAGCTGTGGCGGGGCCATTCCGGGTTCGTCAGGCCTGCTGTCCTCCCTGAGAAGATGTGGGGCCGCTTCGATAGACCCCTCTGTAAGGCCTCGCACCCACTTCTGCTGTGACCTTGTGTATCCTACCTGTCATTGTGCCTCACCCTGAAACCAAGCAGGATGAAAACTGACTCCTCCCGGGATGGGTTTCCCATCTCAGCCAGGGCAGCTTCGGGCACCCAGACCAGAGACCCAGGAGCCAGCCTTGTTCCTTCCCCTCCTCCACCCTTGTATCCTCTGACCTCCCCCTGACCACCCACTTCTCCCTGTCCCGTGTCACGGTCTTTGTTCAGCCTGCTGTCCTCTGCGGTACAGCCTTCATCTCCTGACAGGTCACCTCCTGTATAGTATTTAATCCACTCCGGTCCCTTTTCTACTGAGTCTCTGCACAGTTATGTCACTGCCCAGTCTCTGCACAGTTATGTCACTGCCCCGCTCTGGTATGTTTTGAGTGGCTCCGAATTGCCCTCAGGAATAAATCCAAATCCAAGTCCCTAATCATGGTATTCAAGGTCTTTGATCAACTGGTCCTCCTCTCTCTCCTTAGGTGAAGTTGCTCAGTCGTGTCCGACTCTTTGCGACCCCATGGACTGTAGCCTACCAGGCTCCTCCATCCACGGGATTCTCCAGGCAAGAGTACTGGAGTGGGTTGCCATTTAGGCCCCTTCACAGGCCCCTGCCTTGAGTCTAGTGAAACTTCTAGTCGTATTACTATTTCTGTGTCCCCAGGCGTTTTTGCATTTATGTGGAAGCCCTTTGGCCCTTGTCATCCTGGCCAACTCCTCTCCTCTAAGAACCAGGGCAAATGTCATTTCCTTTGTGTACATATTCCCAGGCGAAGTCAGGCCCTCTGTCTCCTGTGACCCCAGACTCTCCTGCTCACAGCTCCTTCCTCTCACTGTGCTGTTTAGCTGACATGAGGAGAAAGCCTGTGCGCTAGAGTGTGGGTCAGTCTTGGCTTCACCACTTACCGACATGTGACCTCTCCCAGCAGAAGTCTCTTTGTAAATGAGATTAATGACCGTCTTCTCTCCCAGGGCTGTGGGGAGGATTAAGGAGACAATATAATGAGAGAGCTTAGAACACTGCCTGGCTCATTGCTGGAACTCCATACATGAGCTACTGGTACAATTATGACCACATTGGATTCTTAGTGCTTTCTTGCCTGTTCAGGGTCTTGCCTGAGCTGTGTGAACACTGGGATTTTCTTCTGTTCAGCTGTGTCCTCAGCTTCTAGAACAGGCTGGTGATGAGACCAGGGCACTAGGGCTCCCAACCTGGCCCCAGCACGTACTTCAGCCTCTCCTGACCTCTGCATCTGGGGTCTTTTTGAAGCCAAAGCCTAAGGATGCCTGGAGTCTGCCCAAAACCAGGGACAGAGGACACTTGGTCACAGCCTAAGGCTGGAGCTGGTGTGAGAGTGTGGTGGAAGAAGGGGGTCCAGGTGCTGGGGGCTGGAGTCCATGGTGATGGTATAGATCTGCTCTTGGAAGCCCTCTAGTGGTGACTTCTGGACTCTCACCTCCCTTTCCCAGAACCCTGTGGAGGTACCAGGATGGCAGTTGTGATGTAGGATCTATGAATTCTCCTAAATGTTCCACTTTGGCAAAAGAAAATACTCTCCTTAAAGTGAAGAGGAGAATACAGTGGGAAAGATAAAGCTGAATCCCTCTTTCAGGTCCTGTGTTCAGCCATGAAACTTGAGGACAAGCAAGGACTCAGCTTGGGGATGTGAGAAGGCGTTTATATCTTTACCTGACAGTCCTGAACATGCCACCTGCACAGAGCATGGCCCTTCATAATGTGGGTTAGAGTGGCATTTAAGAACATACAGGGTCTAGAGTCTGATGGGCTGGGTTCTGAGCCAAGCTTTGCTACTTACAATCTGAGTGATATGAGATAGTTCATGTAACCTCTCCAAGCTTCAGTTTCCTCATTTGTAAAAATAAGATAATTATGGTGCCCTGCCCTCAGGGTCACAGTGAGATCTGCACAAAGCCATCCCAATGGTAGTTGGCCCAGGGCCCAGTCTCAATAAATGTTAGCAGTAATGGTTATGGAGCTTATCACAATAACCCCATGAGACGGTACAGCAGTGCAGGTCATTGTTATTCCCATTTGATAGATTTTTAAACTTAATTCAGTTCCATAAATATATACACTGAACATTTCCACTCTATCAGGTCCAGTGTGAGGGGAAGAAGTGAAGGACAGGCATGACAAACAGAAGCCCTGCCCTGCTGTGGACTAGTGCAGGGGTCTCCTACCCCTGGGCAATAGACAAATACCAGTCAAAGGCCTGTGACATGGATTTCACAGCAGGATATGAGCAACAGGCAAGCAAGTGAAGCTTCCTCTCTGTTTACAGTTGCTCCCTATTGCATGCGTTACCACCTGAGCTCCACCTCCTGTCAGATCAGTGGGGGCATCAGATTCTCACTGGGGCAGGAACCCTACTGCGCTTGAGTCGTCCTGAAACCATCCACCCCTCCCCCCCGTTCCTTGGAAAATTTTTTTTCCTTGAACTTGTCCCTGGTACCAGAAAGATTAGAGACCTCTGGGCTAGGGGATAAACCGATAGTTGAATAATTGAGACTTGTGTCATGATGGGGGAAAGACAGGTTGCTCCAGACACATAGGGCCCATGGGAGGTAAGCTCCTCTAGGAGTCAGAGACACCTGCCTCAGGAGAGACATTTAAGACAAGATTTCAAGGATGTGTGGGCACCAGCAAGGTGCAGAGGAGATAGGGAGAGAGGGATCAACTCCTGCAAAGGCTAGGGGGCTGGAAGTCTCAGGAGAGGCCCTTGAAGAACTTGGTGAGGCTGAGACAATGGTTGGGGAATAAGGGGGAGAGCAGGTCAGGGAACTGAGGCTCAGAGAGGGCAAGGGTCCCATGCAAGGCCACACAGCTGTTAAGAGGTGGAAGTAGGATGAGGACACAGTGATGGAGCCTCATCACATATTCTTGCTGTGAGTAGCATCATGCCAGTTCTTATATGTGTACTGACAATGTGCACACATACATGTATCATTTTTAGAGGTTCAAAAATAAGTTGTTCCTGAGTTAATGAAAGGTCAGGGATTATTAGTAGCATCTTTCTCTGGGGGCTTCCCTGGTGGCTCAGATAGTCGAGAATCTGCATGCAGCCCAGGAGACCCTGGGTTCGATCCCTGGGTTGGGAAGATCCCCTGGAGTAGGAAATGGCAACCCACTCCAGTATTCTTGCCTGGAGAATTCTGTGGACAGAGGAGCCTGGCAGGCTACAGTCCATGGGGTCACAGAGAGTCAGACATGACTGCAGGACTAACAACATTTTCATTCTCTGAGGGCATCTAAAATGCCAGCGTTTCATAAAGTTAACAAGATGGGCTTGCAATCATCAGAGAGGAGGCAGCTGTGAAATGTACACATGAACTTGGCTCCCTGGACTGGAAATAGTCACCTGGAGCCAAATTCCTGCTCTTTGGCTTTCTGAAAGAGGAAACAGCAGTGCACTTCATAGGTGCTGGACAGACTAGGGGGGTGAGTCTCAGTTTTCCTCCTCTGTAAAATTGGGGATGATAAAATAGCATCCTAAAACTGCAAGATGGGCTTCTCTGGTGGCTCAGCAGTGAAGAATCTGCCTGCTAATGCAGGAGACATGATCCCTGGGGCAGGAAGACCCCCCTGGAGAAAGCAATGGCAATTCACTGCAGTATTCTTGCCTGGGAAATCCCATGGACAGAGGAACCGGCAGGCTATAGTCCATGGGGTTGCAAAAGAATCGGACACTACTGAGAGACTAAACAACGACATCAGCCGCAAGACAGATACTGTACACGCAAGCACTTGATATGTGCCTGGCATGCAGAGGTACTCAAAAAATATTTCCTTTATAGCATGCTTGGAACAAGGCCAAATTTTTAAAAGATTGACTTAATGTATCCAAATCTCTTTCCTACCTTCAAGTCCTTCTATAGATCAATGGAAGCCACAACCTGGAGAAACAGATGGGACAAAGTGACTGTAATGCCATTATCCATGTCCCCTTCACAAATTACTCCCTGGTATTAGCTTCAAGGTATATTGGTGGGCCATTACTCCTGTGACTATCTGAGAAGTAGGATCAACTCTCTAACCCTGTTATACTGGACAGTTCAATTAACAGAAAGAGTTATGGAACACATATGTCAAAATGGGTAGGATGAGTAATGAAAATGAGGACATCTCTACCCTTATAATGTGGGCTAGGAGTGGTTAGGGATGGAGGAGTAGAGAATTGTCTGCCCCTTTCACAAAAGCCTCAAGGCCTGTGCTACTGCAGCTCAGCATGGGTCAGAAGGAGGCTGATGAAGATGCTGGAAGACTTGAACAAGATCAGGGAGCAGTATTTCCTTGGTCTCAGCTGGCTGGGTGTCACTGGTTCACCAGTGCCTTAGTAAAGAGGGACTGGAAGTTAATCTCCTAACCATACTGTAAATTATTTATAGCTTGTTGCATAAATAATTATGCTTAAACTAACTGTTTAGTAAACAATTTATAGTTTACTGCACAGCAGAGGTGGTCATTCTGAATTAATCTATGTGTTGTTTTTATAAAACCCTTAGTGAGAGAGTCTTCCGGGCTGGGTTGTAGAAGGGCGTGGGGGCCGGGTGGACCCAGCTGATATCTGATGACAAGATTCCTCAGGATGTCTCAGGAGGAATCCTCATGTTTACTCAGACTGAAATCCCGGAGTGCCTGCAGTGGCTTCCCGGGGCCTCCAGGATCTAGCCTGAGTCCCTTCTCACCTCTTACCGATCTTCCCTTTGTTCACTCCATTCTAGCCATATTTATTTCTATACTGTTTCTCAAACACCCAGGCCTACTCCACTGGAGGCTCTTTGTACCATCTGTTCCCTCTGCCTGGAACGCCCAGTACCTGTATTTAACGTGGTTGGTTTTCTCTGAAGCATTTACTCAAATCCTACCTTCTCAATGAGTCCTACCCTGATCCTTTAAGTGGCAGTTACCTTTCTGCTTCCCACATGAACAATCTCATCCCCACTTATTCTTACATCTTTTGAAAAGAAATTATTTGCTTTTAATGTACTGCATGTATCCTCACTTGTGTTTGACCCTTTGTGACTCCGTGCAGTGTAGCCTGCCAGGCTCCTCTGTCCATGGGATTTTCCAGGCAAGAATACTGGAGTGGGTTGCCGTTTCCTCCTCCAGGGGATCTACCAGACCTAGGAATCGGATCTGCATCTCTTGCAATGGCTCTGCACTTTTAAATGTATTACAAGTTATTGCTATTGTCTGTTTTCCCTGCTATAAAATACTTTCCACGGGACAGGGATGTTTTTTGGCTTTTTCACTCTGTATCCCAAGTGGCTAGAAGAATTCCCAGCACATTGTAGGTACTAAGGAAATATTTATTGAATAAATATTCAGAGTTAAACATGTGGGGGTATGGAGGCCACACACTCTGCGTGGAGGCTGGAAGTGCCCAGAATTTTGGGGAATGAAATTCGATGGGAGGGAGTCCAGTGAGAAGGATGGGCCTTCTTCAAAAGAAGAGACAGTAGGTCCATTGGATTCAACTAATCTCAAACTGAATCCACTTTCCTGTCTTCTGACCTGGTTTTGCCTGTCCATTCATCTGCTCAAGTCAAAAATCTGGGTCACCTCTTTGACTAGTTCCTGTCATTCATCATCCATGTGAATTGGTATCGAAGTCCTATTGATTTTATCTTAATTGTTCTTAAGTGATTGTCTTCCAACACCACCGCTGCCACAGGAATCAGGGCACCTTCTTATACTTGAACGTCCTTTTGGCTAAATATAAAATCCTTGGTTTCCCTTAGTATTTTGCATATGTTACTCTACTTTTTTTTTTCCCTAGTAAAAAGGATTGCTCTAAAAATATTATAGCCTAATTTCAATCCTTTATAAGTAACATGGGCTTCCCCAGTGGCTCAGCAGTATAGAATCTGCCTACAATGCAGAAGTCACAGGAGACACGGGTTCAATCCCTGGGGTGGGAAGGTCCCCTGGAGGAGAGCATGGCAACCCACTCCAGTATTCTGGCCTGGAGAATCCCCATGGACAGAGGGGCCCGGTGGGCTACAGCCCATAGGGTCGCAAAGAGTTGGATGTGACTGAAGCAATTTAACATGCACACAAGCATAAGTTAACATGCACTTATTTCTAGATGCACAAAGGATTTTCTTTCTTTTTAAATAAAAGTTCAATCTTACTAGAATATGCTTTGTATGCTTGTTTTCATTTATGTAGTATACTCTGTATAATTTTCTTAAAAATTTAAACTATTTTTGTAATGGTTATTGAAATAGTAAGTTATAATTTCCTTCTGTTTTGTGAGTACATTCTACTGGCATTTTCTCATTGTTATTATTCTGCTCTTTATTCTCTTTCTAAAATAATTATGCATGGGATGATACTTCAATAAATTTTTGTTGCTCATGTCTATGTGAAATTAGTTTTTATGAACTTATAGGGGGGTGTGGTTTAGGAAAGCTGTTCTAACTTCATAGAGCTCCATCTTTTGTTTTTGTGTAGAGTTCAAAAACATAGTGATCTGCCTTCTAAGGTTCTTAGCTCTGTTCTACCCTTCACGTTGGACTGAACATCTCTTCCTCTGTTGTCTGTCTTGCTCAATTTTGCTCTTATTCCCAAAGTTTCTTCTTAATGTGTCTCTTTGTGGTAGAAGAGATTCCTGTTGGCTCCAGTTTAAGAGTCTAGAGTAATTGTCTTGCACGCACCTCAGAGAGGCAAACCCCTCTGATTTCAGTCACTATTCCTAAATTGTCACACTGTCCTTTCCAGTAACTATGCAGTGGTTCATCCAAGTTCTTTCTTATCCTCTCCAGATGCCTTCTTATTGCTGCCTCGCATACAGTCTTGTAACTGCGGGTGGTTTGTCCCCACCTGCTTGCAGTTTGAGTTTTGTAGGAACCCTTTATCATCTAGTTTTGTTGTAAATCTTATCCATGGGGTTTTGGCTCTGTTATCTAGTTACTCTGCCAGTTTTTATATGGGGAACTGGAGTGATTGAAAAACTACACTGCCACGACTGTCATCTTTTCAGAATTCTTGCTTATTTCTCTTACTTTTAAGCAACTAAGTTCTGATGATACTGCTGCTTTAATTCAAATCACTCCAGAAATAATGAACATACACAGTATTGCCCATCAGGAATTATTCTAAGCAAATATTTACATATATTTGTGTACATATGTATGTGGGTGAATATACATATTCATACTTTTACTTCACTTATTAATCAAAAAATGCCTAGGAGTTAGGTGCTATCATCACTCCATCTTGACAGTGAGGAAGAGGAAACTCAAACATAAACAGGCTTTCCCAAAGTTGTATTTAGCAAGTGGCCGACTAGTATTTGATCCAGGCAATCTAGCTCCAGGGTTCATACTCTGAGGGGAAGTAGTGGTACCCAACAGAAGCCTAGAAGACCCAGTGTCATACCAGGCTCTGATGCTGGCACGG